GTTTAATTAGATGCGCAAGATCTCTTAACGACGTCTTGCCGAGTCGGATGATAACAGTTGCATAGTTAAAATAAAATTTAAATCTCAATCAATTTTGAATGATAAAAATAACTTAAGAAAACAAAATAATTTTTATATGATAGAAGTACATGTCTAATTAACAAATACAAACAAAAAAAAATATTTTATATTTGTGCAAATGCACTGGTCAACTACTAGTCGATTATAAAACATGGGTATTGTTTTAAATAATTAACTTTGTTACTTTTTAGTTATCAGTTGTATTTTGTATTTTAGTATCTTTCGATTATGATAATATAAATTTCTTCACTTTTGATAAAATAATTAACTTTCAAACATTCTTTTTGTTCATTGACGTTATATTAACTGCCGAATTATATCTAATTATGAAAAAAATAAATACATATTAAATAAAAAATATAACTTCATAAAAATATTTTTTAGAATGCAAAATACTATTAAAAAAATTATTTACTTATTAATTATTTATATTTTTTTAGTTGACTGAACTTCGCATCGCATCGTTTGTGGTCGTGCTACTTAGTAAGTAAGGGATAAGGTGAGATCGCTAATGAATGATTTTAGAATAAAAATTCATTTCTTTTTCACTTTTTGTTACACAATTAGTTTTTTAAACACTCATGTAGTTCACGAGCGTTGTACTAGTAACTGTATAATATAACCAATACTTCTTGACTAAGGGTGGGCTCCAGCCCAATCTTAATTTTCCGGTTCTTTGAAATTTATACAATTAAAGAATATTTTAGTCTATGTTGTATTAGATTAACCCTATATTAATCTTATTTTGGCCCTAAATAAAATTTCATTTTTTATTAAGTCTATAAATTGTATATTTGAACATCATTTAAGTCCTTTTTTTTGCTTTTGTTTTCTTGAAACTCATTATGTCATTTTTCGTCTTCTTTTTATGTTTATTTCTTATTGCTTGATTAAATCAAATTTATTTGAATAATTTTATACGAGACAAAAATTGATTTTATCAGACTTCCGTTAGAATACTTAGTATGCTATTGAATTATGGATTTTACAATTTAATTTTTATATTCTATAATCTTTTAAATACATAGTATTTGAGTATATGAAATTTAATACTAAATCTCATTTATTTATGTTACATATTCAATGAAAGGATATGTAAACCTTAAATGACATGTCATTAACAAGAATAGAGACTAATGCACCATCTCATAATAATAGTCATTTTCCCATACTGTGTTGTTTTTTCTTATAAAAATTCAAGTATGTGAGAAAATATATTTGCACTTCTTAAATAAAAAATAATATTTGTTCCATTTTTGTTAGTGTTTTTCGTGTTCGTTTTATCTTTATTTTTCTCCATTCTAGGTATTTGTCTTTGGTCCTTGGTCCATTTTGAGTCTTGTCATGCATTTCCTTTGTTTTGTTCGTTTTTGGTCTTTTTGTTTGTTTTTTTCAGTTTTCCGTATTTTTCTTGTCGGTGGTGATGTGCAGGATGAGTTGCTCTATGAATGGCCATGCGAGGACTACTTGGATGAGTTGGGGTCGAGTAAAAAAAGACAGAATTCGATTCCGAGTCCGGATGCGTGCATACGAGCTCGAAAACCGCCACCTTGCCAGAAAAATCCTTCACCGCGGCCCGCGACGTTACTTCTGCGGCCGCGGTGAACAAACTCGCCCATCGCCCAGTTTTAGTCGCTGTGGCCGCGACTCATCCTTCACCGCGGCCGCCGCGAACAAAAGAAAGTCCCAGAATTTCTACTTCAGTCCAGTGAAAGTCGCGGCCTCGAGAGTTGGTCGCGGCCGCGGAGGCTCTTCGCCGCGGCCCGCGAGATGTCCCGCGGCCACGGAGGCCGCGACATGCAGAATTTTAAGTTCAGTTTTTGTAATCGTTTTTCATTATGTTTTTACTAGGCTTTGGACATCTTTTTCGTACTTTTCAATTCCAGAACATACTTTCTCTTTGTTTTTGATAGGAATTCATCTTGAAAGTGAAAACCTCCAAGGTTGGTATTTTAGGATTTGTTTTGAACTCGGATTTTGACGTTGAACCTTCGTATTAATCGTAAGCTTATACTTTCTTTTTATTCATGAATACTATGGCTTTGTTTATTATGAATGTTTATGTTAAGATTGCTATGAGTGGCTAAATTCTCTAGCTAGGGTTAGGGATTGTCGTTCCGGTTCGATTCTGTTTATATGCTTGATAATTGCTCAATCTTTTCGAGTTGTGCTTATCCTAGGGTTTAGATTCTTGATCACCATCTTAATCTAATTAATCGATTTTGAAGCCGAAAGGGAAAAAAGCGTTCGATCTAGGCTCATTAAGAATAGGCTTGTTCGGTAACGTATTGTCTATGTGATAATTGATTCGTTTATGGATCGTTTATGTTTATTCTCTTGTTTCGTGAGATATTGAGAATGAATCTCTGGATGAATTAGTTTTTTGTGTCCTTTAGTTGATTAACTGATTGCCCGTTAAATGTATTGAGAACCGGAAGTGAAATCCCCGGTACCCTAGCCTCATTACTATTTGAATTTATGTTCGGAGTTGTGAAGTTGAAATAGCTAGCATTATTTTCATAATTCGTAGTTGATAGAATCAACCCAAATCAATCTGAGTAGAGTGTTAGGATTATTTTCTCTTTTTGTGAGTGAATATCTGCGCAATTTAATCCGGCCAACCTTCCTTGTGATACGACCCGGGGAACGAATCTCTTGATTCTACTCCGGTAAAAATACTTACAGCAAATTGGCGTCGTTGCCAAGGAAGGTATAGGACTTTAATTGTGCGCCTATTCATTTTGTTTTTAGTGTTTCTCTTTGTTTCTTCTGTTAATAGTTTTTATTTTTCATTGGTTGTTTTTCTATAGGTAAATTATTTGTCTATCTGGTGCTCGTGACGGTTTCTTTTGTCTTTGTGTATGCATACCAGGAGTGGACGCGTACTATCTCCTATCGACAAACCGTTCAACGAGAGCCTGAGAGAGCTACTGGAAGAGCTTACTCTCGAATCACACGAAGGAGACGAACATTCTCCGAAATCGTCCGAAGGAAGCAACTTCGACATGGGTGAACAACAGCTTAATGACGAGTAGTTGAAGATGAGGTGCTTTCTTGAGACACTGAAGGAACGGGCCAAGGCCTGGTTCATGACGATTGCACCTGGCTCTCTCACTACCTGGACTGAGGTGTGCTCGAAGTTCATTGGGAGGTACTACTCCCATCAGAAGACCCAGGAGCTTCGGTCACAGATTGTTTCATTTGCTCAATTACCTAGTGAGCCTCCTCACGAGGCTTGGGAGCAGTTCAAGGATCTCCAGCGGCAGTGCCCTCATCACAATCTCTCTCCGGGGCTACTGATGAACTGTTTCTACGACTCCCTCCACCAAAACATGCAGTATATGGTTGACAATGTGGCAGGAGGGGATATTGGAGCAAAGACGATCGAGGAGATGTTTGAAATTTTTAAGACGATGAGCAGGAACTCGTCGCAGAAGAGTAGCCGAGGGAAAAGAGCGATAGTGAACGAGGTCGAAGGAAGCCATGACTTGATGGCCCAACATTTGGCTGAGCTTACTGAGCAGATGAGGTTGCTCAATGCACGAGGACCTCAGCCGGTTAATACCTTTGTCGTCGACACATGTGGGGCATGTGGAGTCCCAGGGCATAGGTATGAAGTATGCCCCTCATCATTCGAGCAGGACTCTGGTGAGCAGTATGCGGATGCCAGTGCTTTACAAGGATACCAGAACCGGCCAAGCAATGAGCCATATTCAAACACGTACAATCCCGGATGGCGGAATCACCCTGCTTTCTCATGGTCAAACAACTCAAACACCCTTCAGCCACCCCGTCTGAACTTCATGCAGCAGCAACCTCGACCCAACTTTGTTCCCCATCTGAACTACCAGCCACAGCAGCAACAGAGAGGACCAGAGGCCAGGATGCAAGCACCGGGAGCAGGGCCGAGCTTAACCCTCCAAGGCGATGTTGCCAAAATCCTTCAATTTATGGCGAATAGTGAGCATCGAGATGTCAATCAGGAGGCCTCAATCAAGCGCATTGAGACACAGTAAGGCCAACTGGCCGCTCGGTTCGGTACCATTGAGACTGAGATGAACAAAGAAAAGTTTCCTAGCCAGCCCGAGCAAACTAAAGCTATTACTGTACTCAGGAGCGAGAAGGTAGTGGACAACAAGGTGCAGATGCCTGAGCCCGAGGATCAGGAGGTTCATCCAGAAAAGATCAAGGAAGCAGAGCCCGGGGAGGCGACTGACAAGCCGATGCTACATAAGTCGCCGAATTTCTCTTTCCGGACCGTCTTAGGAACGAGAAGCAAAAGAAGCAGTTCTGGGATCTTTTCAGCATTTTCTCTAAGGTGAACGTAAACTTGCCACTCCTCGATGTGATTAAGAATATGCCATCATATGGTAAGTTCTTTAAGGACTTGGTGACCAAGAAGAGAAAGTTTGAGGATGGAGAGAAGGTGGTTGTGTATGAGGCGGCAAGTGCAATGCAGCACGACTTGCCCAAGAAGGAACGTGACCCTGGTGGTTTCATTATCCAGACAGCCTTGGGAAATAGGAAGGTAGCTTCGGGGATGCTTGACCTCGAGGCCGGAATTAATCTTATGCCCTTCTCGATTTTTCAGAGGCTCGACCTTGGGGATTTGAGGCCAACTCGCATGTGCCTCTAGTTGGCAGACCGTTCCATCAGGTACCTGAACGGGATCGTCGAGGATGTTCTCGTGAAGGTGGGTAAGCTTATCATTGCAGTGGATTTCTTTGTTCTAGACGTTGGGGATGTGCACGAGAATGGGAAGGATCACACCATCCTTCTCGGGAGACCTTTCATGGCGACGACTAATACTCTCATCGATGTGAAGAACGAGACTCTGAATATGACGATTTTAGGAGAGTCGGTGTCTATTTCTGTCCGAGGGGCGATGTCCTCATCCTCAGTCAATTTTGTAGAAGAATGTGCTTTCATTGATCTTGCTGACCCTTCTGTTGATAATATGGTATTTCAGGAGTTCGAGGAAGTATCGTTGCCGGCTTTCGAGGAAGAGGAAGAGCCTACAGTGGAACTTTTTGAAGTGGGAGAAGGCCATTCTCGAGCTGAGACCACACTTGAGCTTAAGAAGCTGCCCAAGCACCTTAAGTGTATGTCTTCTTGGATGATGCCCAACAAAAACCGGTGATAATCTTTGTTGAGCTCGATAGTGAGGAAGAAGAGGAGCTAATTGCCATGCTCTGGAAGAACCAGAAAGCAATCGGGTGGAGCTGGGAGACATCAAGGGGATCAGTCCATCTATATGCATGCACCGGATTATCCTGGAGGAGGGAGCCAAGCCTTTTCGGGATAGCCAACGACGGCTAAACCCGAATATGATGGAGGTAGTGAAGAAAGAGGTGTTGAAGTTGTTCTCTGAGGGATTGATCTATCCAGTGGCGAGTAGTGAGTGGGTTAGACCGATTCATGTGGTGCCGAAGAAGGGAGGCATAACCGTGATCGAGAACGAAAAGAAGGAGTTGGTTTCCATCTGCATCACTACCGGGTGGCGCATGTGCATTGACTATAGGGGACTGAACGTTGTGACCAAGAAGGACCACTTCCCATTGCCGTTTATTGACCAGATCCTTGATCGTCTTTCGGGCCACCAGTTCTACTGCTTCTTGGATGGACTCTCCGGCTACTACCAAGTGGCCATAGCACCTGAGGATCAGCCCAAGACGACGTTCACGTGCCCCTTTGGCATCTTCGCATTCAAACAAATTCCCTTTGGCCTATGCAATGCACCAGGTACGTTTCAGAGGTGCATGTTCTCCATCTTCTCGGATATACTTGAAAACTGCTTGCAGGTATTCATGGACGACTTCCCTATATTTGGTGATTCATTTTCTCATTGTCTCCGTAATTTACCTAGAGTCCTTGAATGTTGCATTGAGTCCATTTGCTTTGAGCTGGGAAAAGAGTCATTTTATGGTTAGAAGTGGAGTTGTCTTAGGTCATGGTGTTTCTTGTAGGGGAATTGAGGTCGATAAGGCCAAAGTAGATGTTATTGAAAAACTTCCCCCTCTTGTGAATGTTAAGGGGATTAGGAGTTTCTTGGGGCATGCGGGGTTTTATAGGCGTTTTTATAAAAGATTTTTCGAAAATTAGTCAACCTTTGTGTCACTTGCTTGCTCAGGATGTACCATATATTTTTTATGACGCTTGTTTGAGTGCTTTTAATGAATTAAAGAACAAGTTTGTAAGTGCCCCTATTGTCATTGCCCCTGATTGGTCGCTTCCGTTTGAAATATGTGTGATGCGTCTAATCTTGCAGTGGGCGTTGTTTTGGGTCAACGATTTGATAAATTGCTTCGAGTGATTTATTATGCTAGTTTGACTCTTAATGGGGCCCAAAAAAATTATACTACCACCGAGAAGGAACTTCTAGCCGTGGTCTTTTCACTAGAAAAATTTAGATCTTACATTTTGGGATCTAAGGTAATTGTTCACTCAGACCATGCGGCTTTGAAGTATCTTTTGAGAAAAACTCATTCTAAACCAAGGTTCATCCGGTTTGGTTATTATTTTTGTTTTTTTTTT